TTATTTTCACTCATTTCGATGAAAGCCAAATGTTAGTATCAGAACCTGAACTCCTCCATAAACCAGTGAAGTTAGAAACCTTGTGTGTGTCCTAGCAACATTAAATTCACTGAAATTAAACCCAGTGAATACTTCTTACAGTGACACAAAAAATTGTAATTTAAAAACAATTTCAAACAAATAATTTTTACATTATATTATATCCGACATAATGGTCAGTAAGAAACACTGACTTATAGCATTGTGGAACAAATCTATCCAAAAAGCAATAGGAAGAATTTATTATTCAATTCCTTTCAACAGTAACTGTTTTGAACAGGTGTTGTTGTTTATTGTTGTATTGTGTATGAATGATTGGTGATGATTTTGTTCCTAATTATTAACTAATGAAGGGTAGTTACCCAAAACAAAGTCTTTTTTTAACTGGCAGAGAGTGATTTCATGAAAAAAAATGTCAGTTATTAGCATTTTCCTTGTCACAACACTGTTGAAACCAGTGAAGAGATATGAGCGTAAACTATGGCACATTGTGTTAAACATTCATTGCAACTGTCAGTAAAAGTTTTCAGCAGCTGATGTAATACATCACAAAAATATCATGACAAGACAATTAAACCCACCTTCTTTTTATGAAATGTAATTTCTTCATCTGAATCAGAGAGTTCTAGGAGTTGCTCTGGTTTGGGCTTAGCTGGTGACCGTGTCAGGCTGTCTGAAATTGGTGTGTCAATATAACTTGCTGAGGACATACTGGAAAAAAAACAAGCATTTACTAATATAAAAGTAATAATTTATTGTACAATAGCAGGTAGAATTGCAGAAACAGCAATAATAGGATACAGGATTTACAACACGTGTGTATACATGTACTGTTCTCTATTCTGGGTATAATGACCTCTGCTTTGCATTACAATAGTATGTGTATATACTTATCAGGATTGAGTATACTGACCTCTGCTGAGGACTATGCACATATGCTGCCATCTGTTGTCTTGGTGATAATGACCCATCATCAATTGGTGCATGCGATATAATAGTACTGGCATCACCTAAGCAAAATGTACAAGATATGTCATACATGTAAACATAATTATGTTCTCTCTCATCTGCCAAGACAAACAGAGGTGTTATATGGCATTGTTGAGGGTAATTATGTATCAAAAGTAAGAGCTGAAATTCAGAAATGTCAGGAAAACCTGGTGAACATTCACTGCCATAATTTAACACTATGTACAAGAAGGAAAACATGTCAATGAAGTTGTACATATTTGTTAAAATATCATGTAAAGTGCTGGGCTTCCACTAGTTTTACATCAGTCACCAATACTGAATTTCATTTGGATTTAGCTACAAAAAATAAATTATATTGTAGCTAAGAGCAATTATAAACAATAAACTATTCTGTGAAATTGGTCATCATTTAAAAGCAGGTCATCATTGATAGAAAACAAGAAACAGGAAGGTACACAAAACCAAAAACACTGATAAAAGACAGAGTATGCACCCACTGTAAAGAGATAGAGGATGAATTACATCATTTACTAGAATGTAAACTGTACACAGAACACAGAGATGACATATATAATATCCTTAAAGAAATTAACAGTGATTACCAAAACTTAAACAAAAAAGAACAATTTAAACTTGTACTACAGTCACCAAATACAAACCATCTTATCACTCTCTGCAAATATTTAGTTAAATATAAACAAGACTAATTCTTTTATTTTGTCATGTTCTTTTATATTTCATACATATTCTGTGCTACATACAGATATACTTACATATCACAGTATTATAATATTTCTTATATTATTAATAATTGTATTTTTGTTGTTCATCAATTTTGAGTTCTTTTTTAAATCAATTTTTACATTTCATGTACTTTTATTATTTACTTTTTTATTCTGAAAATCTAAAAAGAAATGTTAACTATTTCTTTTCGGTATTAATAAAGCATTCTATTCAATTCTATTCTATTCTACTCTATTCTATTCAATGCTTGTACATGTACATTACAATATTCTACACAAATCTAACAAATTTCAAATTTTTCATTTCTCCCTTTTGCAAAGTTGCTAAACAAGTTTGAAATGTGGTCAATATGGCAAAAACTATTTGACAGAGGTGTGTTCATCACAAAAACAACTGGGCTCAGGATTACATGGATTAAAAAATAAAAAAAATTCTACAAGAAATTGGACCTATACATATTCCATGCTTCAAGAATTAATGCTTCTCAAAGACATATATCAAGGGACAAAATATGGCAAGCTTAGTAACTTGAGTTCCTAACTTTATGTTCAAAAGATGGCTCACACTTTAATTTTAACCGTGTCCATGTCATGATTTGCTTCTAAATAATATCATCAGCAGTCTCAATGAACATTCCTTTTCCCCCATGCCAATGCAAAATCTGTCTGCTATCGTCATACTCTCTAGTAATCAAGTTTGACAACCTGATGGAGTCTTAGTAATGATGGTGACCTACCTCCTTCATCCGCTAATGGTCGCTGTAAATGATGTGGTGATGCATATACTGTGAGAGAATCTGGCAATGATGGTTTGGTTGTAAGACGTCCTTGTGCTAAAAAATGACTGTCAATAAAAACATTAACAAATAAAGACAGTGTGAAGATGCAAAAACCTAGCATCATCACAGATAATTAATGATAATGTTTATCATTTATTTACAGGTGCCACCGAGCTAATCTGAGTGCGAGTTGTGCCAGCACGCAGATGCCACAACACTGATGTGTGTGTGTGTTGGTCTGCAGGTAAACTCTGTGGGGACGCAGATGCCACGCAAGTCAAGTATATGTGTACTACTGTTTCTTTTGTATGTCTTCACATGACATTCAGTCAGAAGAAACAGATTCTATGCACATATGTACCAACCAACACTGAAAATATATTATTATCAAGTACTGTAAAATAATTTATATTCGAGCGTGTTTAATTATAGACCTTCTCATTCTAAGGTCTATGGTTTAATTTCGCGGTTTTGAACTGTCCAAGCTTTTGAACTTCAACTTTCAAAATTCAACTCAGTTTCATCGTAAGAGAATGATTCTGGTTGCGTTTAAATGCTCAATGCGATACGATATCCACCATCCACCATGATCTGATAGGTCATATTGCCAATTAACCAATCAAAATGATGGATGATGCCAACGTGTTATCTTATCATAGCTCATTTAAATATGTTAATGTTAATGAACACAACACAGAAGAGATTTGCTGATGTTGTAGTACAATCTTTTGGCTTCGATTTTGATGGAAAAACAGCATGATTTTTTTTAATAAAGAAATTAGTTGTTTTCAAAGATATTGGAAGATATTGGATATTGGAGCATTGGAAGACTAATTCAACATGGCAAATGCATGAAACTGTCAGTATACAACACGAACAATTAGACTGATCATATTTCAAACACTTTTCACAAAAATAATTTGTTTAGCCATTAAACGAGCCACGGTTTGGCATTTGAGGATACTAGTTGGTGATGTCACAATATCAAATTGTGTGTAAGGACCAATCAGATTTGCCATTCAGATTGTGAAATATGGAAAAATATTACATGGCTTTATCTCACTGTTACTGCATGATACCAGATAGACGGTACAAAATAAGATATTGATATTACCATAAATGAGATGAGCTGAAAGAAATTGCAATAAAGTTGTGGGCGAAAGAAAAAAAAATTGAAAATTTACCACAGAATGAAAAATTTAAAATACAAATTAAATGTCAGTGAACACAATATTTGCAACAAAAACAACAACGCAATTCCTGAAGCCCCTAAGGGCAACCTCGAATATTACAAAATCGAAAGTTATGAACATTAAATCTCATTTATTAGGATATTAGTCACAGCCAAAATAATCCTCCTAAACTTTTTTTGTTTTAGTTTAATCCCATAATTCCCTTTGTCTTATCGTCCTTTCACCCCAGGATAGTTGCCGACGCTTCATTTACCCTCAAGCGTTGCTGCGTACAGTACACACTCCAAGGTTTTGTTTTACGCTGTAACAGTAAATGTCAAAGGACGTAAAGCATGCGCAGATCTTTTATACGTAGAGGAATCGTGTTTGTGAGAACGGGAAAGTTGGAATTTTGAAAATCAGAGAATTTCTTATTAAGTTTATGTAATTTTTCGTTTTTCAGCACATTGTTCGTTGTATTTTTGAATCGGTAATATTGTAATGTTTCGAAACCTTGCTAGTACTGTTTTTTAGTCCAAAATAAAGATCGTTTAATGTTCTTTGCAATGGTGCATGGCATAGACCGCACCGCGTTGTACCAGAGACTGAATTTTGAGGTTCGAAATGATGCTTTTTGAAGTTGATATCCCGTGTACTAGTATGTCCTACTTCCTATGGCAGTGCGTCAATTTTCTTTATATACCATGTACAAGAAATTCGCTGCATTTTTTTGTTTTCGTGCAATCATTTCGTTCATAGCATATACAAAACAATTCATCGTCTGTAATATATGCTCTTTGATTTCGTTTACGTCTTCAGAATTTAAGGATATAGCAGTTTCAGCATTGTAGTCAAACTCGTGCGTGTTATCGATCGTCACCATATTTGTTTATAAGAATTTGACTAGAATTGTCACGAAAATCGCTGAGTGCTGCCGAAGGCTCCGTAGTATGCTAATACATGGTAATCCTCACTGCGCTAAGAGGAAACTGTCCTCCTTGATCCGTTCGGCAAATAAACTCCATGATCTATGCACAAACAGCGG